GAATAGGAAAAGACGAGTGAGGAGAACAGGGCACAGTCAGAACGCGATTGGAATGAAGAGCGCAGCAACGAAAACGATGGCTCTTGACAAAAAAAGATGTTGAGAGAATCGAATGAAGCAAGAAAGTGAGAGAGAGAGAAAGATTCTGAAAGTGCAATTTTAGCGAACGCAAGTGATAAGATTCTACTAGGGTTACGGACTGAGGAAGAAGGCATAAGACGAAAATCACAGGTAAGCATCGTTGGGACCTAGAAATTATTGTTGCCCTCAATTGATTTTTTGTATTATTTTTGTTATTGACAGTGTAATGGATTCGAAAGGGACAGTCAACGCTAATACGAAGGGTGAAAATGGGGAGGAATTGCTACAAGAGAAGCATGCAAGGTTAGTTAATAAGTATAGGGAAATTTGTATTCTTGCAAAAAGAACTTGGGAACAAACAAAGATTCATTTGTGAGAGGGACATAACAGCATAGGGGATAGTATAGGAGATACCGGATGGTGTGGGCAAAATGAAGCGAATGACAGAGGTGAGGAACAAGAGGTTATAGAAGACATTGATGCGTTAGATGATTCCAATGACAATGATAGAGAGGGGAAATTTAGTGCCGATGTAAATGAAGTTGTGTACTCTGTTGATGATGTTAATGAACATGTGGACACTGGTGATATAAATGAGGTTATGTAACTAAACATGTGGACCTTGTTGGTGAAGTAAATGAAGTGTACGAGAGTGTTGATGATGTAAATGAGAATGAGAGGGGTTCTGGTGAGGGCCTAGTTTTTCCAGGTGAGAGTGCAAGATTTGAAATTGAGGATGAATTTGATATTTCAGGAGATTCTGATAGTGAAGATGTAAGTTATGTGGCAGAAAGTGCAAGCTCTGACACTGAGGAAGTTGAAGCCAGTGATGTAAGTGTTGAGTCAGATTTAAAAGTTGAAGCCAGTGATAGAAGTGAAGATGAGAAGGAAGGCCCATAATATGATATTAGGCTTCCAAAAGAAGTAAGAGGGGGGTGTCAATTAGTGGGCTCAGCTAGCGGGCCCTTCTTCATGCTGGGCATGACCTTTGTTGACAAACAAGACCTTAAGAGGGCTTTGGACAGATGTGCAATAACTAAAGGAGTAAACCTAAGAATGGCCAAGAGTGATAAATGTTAGGATTAAGGTTTTGATGATAACAAAATAAGAAATTTGTGTTTCAGTATGTTGATCGATCATCTGATCGATCAAGGACTTATCAATAAGCTGATAGATAATATCTATGTACAATCAAGTAACTTAGCAGAAACTTTGATCGATAACTTATTAGATAATGTGTTAATCGATCAATTGATCGATCATTATTAACTTAGTTATGTATGAAAGTCTGGAGTAAATTATCGATCACTTGATCGATAATCAGGATGATCAAACATCAGGATACAAATCTGATAGGCAATTATCGATCACATGATCAATAAACAGATTATCGATGAGAAGACAGATAAATGGTAATGCGCTCTACTCATTTTATGTTTTGCTTTAGTCATCATTTATCGATCACATTATCGATCAGTCATTTATTGATAATATGATCGAATATTGCTTCATAACATTGCATGCAGGTACTTATTTCAGTGGCTTATCGATCACCTGATCGATCAGCAAATTATCGATCACATGATCGATAATCAGTACATCACTCTTAAATCATGACTCTTCGATCATCGGATCGATAATCACATTATCGATAATATGATCGATCACCACACTTCGTGTTTGCCCTATTTTTCACATAACGTGATCGATAAATCAGCCCTTTAATTTACAGGATTAAATCCCCTTATTTTACTTTATCGATAACCTGATCGATCATTCATTAATCGATCACCTATTCGATCAACCTACATAGTCTATGTTTTCACTGAATATATTTTTGCTTATTGTTTATCGATAAGGTTATCCATCATCTATTTATCGATAATGTGTTCGAAAATTAGTGCTTCAAAATCTATTTCCATAACACTTTGTTTATCGATAACCTGATCGATCAACAAGTGTTCGATCACTTTTTCGATCATGAGGTGATTTCAGTTTAAACTTTAAATAGTCACGATGGTTCTCAAAATTTATCATCTATTTCATTCGAGCTTTTCTCAGCCTTCATGATTGTCTTAATTCTCCATTTAAATAGTTTTAAAATCAAAAGTGACCTTGATCTTCTTTCTCTCTGCATATCAATATAAAGTCACTATTGCCTTTTATCGATCACTTGATCGATAAATCGTTAATCCATCACTTGATTGATAAATTTAGTTATCTCTTTCAAAAGCTCTTACTCTGAATAATCGATAACCTGATCAATCAACCAGTAATCGATCATCACTTCGATCAAGCACATTCAGTTATTGCTTAAGCACATTTAACAATTGATTGATTCTACTTGTAAACTATGAATGTTCATTGTTCATTTGTTCGGTTCTACTTTTGATCTTACTCTGCAAAAGAAAACCTATTGAATTAATGTATTTTTGCAGATTACGAAGAAAAACCCAATGGATTTCCAACGGTTATCCAAGTAGCCTGTAACCTACCTTGTTAGAAGCATTAATGGCGAAAACCATTGCAACTGGGAAAACACGCAACCAGACTCTCAACGGCTAGAAGCTCTTTCGTCTAACGGTTACTAAACTACCTCAACTGTAAAAGGTGTGAAGAAGCATTAAATGAACAGATTGAATACATGAGCTACCCTTTGTTGATTATTTACTGTTGCATTCAATACTCTGTTCTTCTATATACCGAGCTTCAGTGATTATAATTTATTCACTCTATAAGAGAGTTTGTACTCTTCTTCATTAATTACGACTTGTGTGAAACTCAAGAGTGTGGACTCTTGAGTAGGTTTGTAACCTTACAGGAAGTAAGAGGGAGTGATTGAGAGTATCAATTACTGTACCGAGGCACCAAGAGCCCGATCAATCTTGGAACATAGTGGAATACTCAGAGGTGTTCTGAGGACTAGGCGTAGGTCAAGTGGTTGAGATCGAACTAGTATAAATCCTGTGTCCACTTTTCTACGGTGAAATCTCTCTAACTTACACTCTCTGTTTCTGTTAGTTAATTGTTTTAATTTCACAAATTTTTATAACTCACCCAATTCACCCTTCTCTTGGGTGAGACTGCCACTAACAATAAAAGATTGGTAAAGGTAGTGTGCAAAGAGGGATGCCCTTTTATGTTGTATGCTTCACGGGATGGGCAACAAGTTGGTTTCATGGTGAAGACCTTGTGTTTACAGCATAGATGTGCTAGGGTGTATAAAAACCCTAGAGCCTCCATGCAGTGGTTAGCTGAACATTTCAAAGAAAAAGTTCAAGAGAGCCCTCATTTCAAGATCAGTGAGATGAAGAAGGTGGTTGAGCGTGAGTTTAAGGTCCACGTTAGTATAGACAAGTGTAAGAGAGCGAGGAGGAAGATCATGGATGACATGACAGGTAGCTTTAAGGATGAGTTTGCAAAGTTAGCGGCTTACTGCAATGAGTTGAGAATCTCAAATCCAGGATCATATGTGAGTGTGGAGTTCAGTAATGAGGCACTAGAGCAAGGTAGAAGGGTTTTTAAAAGGATGTATCTCTATTTCAATGCTTCTAAAGCAGGTGCTCATCAAATCTTCACTATTTTTAATCTCCAAATTTATTTGCTAGCTATATTAATCTATTAAATTTGTAGGTTGGGTGGAGAGAATGATGCAGGCCATTAATTGGGCTTGATGGCACTTTTCTTAAAGGTAAAATCAAAGGGAATATTACTTACTACCATTGGGATCAATGCCAATGATGCTCTCTATCCATTAGCATTTGCACTAGTTGAAAAAGAAAATGGTCTTCAGTGGGGATGGTTTCTTGAATGGCTGCGAATTTTGTTGGCCCTAGGGTCTGGTTCTACTATAACCATTATGTTAGACATGCAGAAGGTAACTGTATCATTATTGTTCATTATTTATAAACTTTGACATCAATTTATGACTGATTACACAATGACTGGTTAACTTGTGTTGTTAGGGATTGGACAATGCTGTCACTAATGTGCATCCTGAGGCAGAGCACAGATTTGTGCAAGACATATATATATGCTAACTGGAGCAAAACTTGGAGGGGCACTGAGTTAAAGAAAATTTTTTTACTTGTGGATGGAGTTCTTTTGTAGAAGAGTTTAATGATAACATGAAAGCTCTTGGTGCATTGCACAAACAAGCAGCAGCTGTAGCACTAACATATAATCCAACTACTTGGGTAAGAGCATTCTTCACCCCGAGATGCAAGTCCTGGATGGTAGACAATAATATTAGTGAGATGTTCAACTCCTGGATTGATGAGTATAGATATCTTCTAGTGATTAGGATGTTTGATGGTATTAGGTTGAAGATTATAGTGAAATGGGTTGAGGGTGAAAACAATGTGAACAATTGGAATGGTATTTATAGCTCAAGGTGTATGGAGTTATCTGAGGCTAATAGGTTGTTATCTATTCATTGTAGAGTCTTTTTCAATGGGGATGAAGGTTATGAGGTAAGTGAGGGACAAGATAGGCATACTGTGTATTTTAATAGGGAGATATGCATGTGTAGGGCATGGGATTTAACTAGAATCCCATGCCAACATGCAATTTGTGCAATGTATCACTCAAAAATAGATCCCTTTTCCCGAATCTCCCATTACGACCACAGAGATGCCTATATAGTTAGCTATGGGACAAAACTTCAGCCAGTTAGGGGCAGACAATTTTGGGATAGGGACAAATTCCTCCCAATGTAGCCACCACCTGTTTCTGCCTTGCCTAGAAGACCTAGGAAAAAGAGAAAGAGCACGAAAGAGTCACAGAGGAGGCTCAACAAGGGTATATCTACCCAGAATGCAGAATAAAATACTCAGCAACAAGCCCCTCAACCTGAGAAGTTAAGTAAACAAGGTCGCATACTGAGATGTTATTACTGTCACAAAGAAGGTCATTAAAGATCCACATGTAAAGAGGTGATGATGCTCTCTATTTTTTTCAAGTTTAATTGTTAATTAGTATTTCCTGACTCCATTCGAACTTTTTGTTTTGCAGGCACCTCCTTCAAGTGCCGCTCCTCGGCCAAGGAAGAATAGAAGAAAGCAAAATGAGCCACAACCACCCACTCTCTCCTAACCATCAACACAGCCTCCATCTCTCTCTCAACCATCACTACAGCCTCAATCTGTCTCCCAACAACCTAAGCCTCGGACAAGAAGTGTGTACAAATCAAGAGTGGTCATTAGAATGGGTCTGAGGATTGATGAAAATACAGGGAGAACAATCTTCAATGTGGATAATGTGGCTTGTTTTTGTCCTTATTTCTTCAATCTGAGTCACCATTATTGATATCTAAATTTCTTTATTCATGCAGCTTGGAATGAGTTCAGAAATTGTGCTTCAAGAGGGAACTGCATAAGAATATCTACAACATTATGCTGACCCCCAAACCAAATTCCCAATACCAAATCACAGGGAATTGAGGAGGACACAGGGTACTGAGACAAATCAACCACACGGTTGTAGAAGGATTAATTTCAACACAGAACCATCTAAACTCCCATTTAAGCCCCCAGGTCTCCAGTGGAGAGGAAACCCAAGTATTACAACTTCACAACTCCTTGCACACAGACAAAGCTTCGTTGGAAATACAACAAGGAGCAGATCAAACAACTTTGATATATAGCTTGCTTTGTTGTCATTGTCTACATAATTAATAGTGATATATAGGGTATATTTTGAATTAAGTGTATGGCATAAGAGATCCCTTTCTTTTTGGTGACTTTGACTTTGTCTTGGGATGTATACAGATATTTATGGTCTTTTTTGTATGTCAGAGGCAATGTGTTGCCAATGCCACGCTTCATTTTCCAATATTTTGTCTAACTTTGACCTTTAGGATGACATTTGTATGACAGATATTTATGGTCTATTGTGTATGTCCAGATATTTTTGGTTTATTTTGCATGTCTCATTTGCTTCAGCTTGCTTCAATTCTGTTGTTAATATATTAACAGATTATTTTCAATCTTAAGGTTCTCAAACTAAAAGAAAAAAATTTTCATCATGCTTTTTTTCCAAAATAATCATAACCTTTCAAATACTTTCATTGATAACCGAACAGGAAATACACCATTAATCAATAGTTAACTCATATATTCTTACATTTCCTACTATCACTAGTTCAATCTCAAATTACTAATTGCCTTCCCAAATACAAAATCACCACCTACACCCATGTCATCATCAATGCAACCACAGCAATTTTCAATTTATTTTTAGCCTTTCTTACTTCACTTTCCCTTGTATGAGTCCTACATTTTAGCTTCCTCAATTCTCTGTGGATTGCATCAACCTCATTACACAACCTTCGACCATCGTGCCAAGCGAAGTAGCCACAACCCCTATCCTGTCAAAGTTCATAACCACCGTCTAATCAATATCAAAACACCAATCCAACTGAAAATGCTAACTTTCTTACCTGGTAGTAGTGTCGACACCCATAGAACCTTTGCCCAGGGTTGCTTTCTGTCCATGCCATCCAACGTGGAGCCACCAACCTATGGTGGCAGTATCTTGTCGGACCTTCATAATTATCCTCATGACTTGGTGCCCTTATCAAATTCACCCTCCTTCTACTTCTCCCTGTTGTCAAAGAAGATGACGACGCCATCTACTTCTTTCTCACCACTTCTTTCTGTAAACCCACCAAATCCTAACCTTGCACCTCAATAATGGCTTCAGAAAAGTTGGATTTCAACTTTAATGGTGGAGATATCGGTCTTCGATGTTGCCTTCAATGCTTTCTCCTCACCTGCCATGTTTGATGTTCAAATAACAATTTATTTTAGTGTTACAAGCTAGCCTGGATGACACATGGATAGGAAAATGGGACCCACAGCTCAAAATGAAGGAACGTTTTCTGGGTCTAATGGCTGTCGTAAAACAGAGCCCTTTTGAAATCATCATGAGCATATTTGGACCCAAGGTTTGTTTATGGTGCCAGCTGCACATTTGGTAATTGTTTATGGGTATTTTTGCCCTTTCACCCAATTTTCAAATTGGTTTGTCTGTTTTTTTCCCCTTCTCATTTTACTCATAACTAATATATTCTCTCTCATTATCTTTTTTCATACATTCTCTCTCATCTTTTTTTCTCCTTACTCTCACTTATCCACTTATAAATAAGAGCATATTTAAAAATATATATTTTACATATTTATTATTTTAAACTAATTTTAATAGTTTGTTTTAAACCGCACAATTCAATTATTTGATATTATGAAAATGAATAATACTATCTTTGGTCTTTGATATAAGAACTAATTTGATGTTTAATTTGGTCATAAATTTAATACCCCAATTCACTTTATTTCTTATATTTATTTATTTTTTTCCAAAGTATGTTTTATAGTAGTTGCACATGTTAAATATTTTGTCAAATAATAGTCTTAACTAACACACATAATTAGTAAGGGTATTTTAGAGAAGACAACATCTATTTAATATAAATAACTAATTTAATTAATTTTTTTAAATACTTAAATTAATCAAATAATTTTTATAATAATTGGTTTCAATACATTGGCGATGATGGCATATTGGCCTCTTTGCCAACGTGGCGCCAATGAGTAATGATTATTGCTCACAGGGTTTTCTCAGAACAAGGGGGTGTTTGGATAACCTCAAATCATGGTTTGGAGAATAGTTTCTGGAAAATAGATTTTGGGGAGAATAGATTTTGAAAGAATAGATTTTCTGAAAAAGTGATTCTGATAAAGTGGAAGTGTTTGGATAGTTATTGTCAGAAGTGCTTTTTTATATGTTGAAATTACTAAAAAGGACATAGGTTTAAATGATAATTACATATAACATATATTTCATAATATATGTTTATTTGAAGTAATAAATTTGTTAATAATATATATTTTGACAACATAATAAATAAGACATAAATAATATAAATAATAAATAATTAATGTGTATATATATAAAATAATTACATATGTTTTTAGAAAAATAATTTATTTTGCCAATAAAAAATATTATTATTTATTAAAGATTTTAAAATGAAATCCCATAATTTTCAGAGGAATGGAGAAGGGGCAACGGAATGGGAGAGAAGAAATGGGAGAAGAGGCCTTCGAATGGAAGAAAAGGGACTTTTTCATTGTTGGGAGCTTTTTTACTCCTCAGAAGCGACCTGCGTGATGCTTCAGCGTAAACCAAAGTTTGCAAGCTCAAAACCATGGTTTTAAAAAAAAAAAGAGGTGTTTGGCAAATTTTTTTCCAAACCATGGTTTGGAAAAAAAGCCAAACACCCCCCAAGTCCAAGTCCGCGGCGGCCTGGCGGGGGACCACCGTGATAGTGAGCGACAATATTTAAGAAAAAAATCCTAAATTTTTTTTTCTTATTTCAAAATTTTAAATCAGTTTTTCTTACTATACTTTAATACTTCCTCTGATCCTAATTATAAGACCTAGTTGACTAATTTGAAGATATTAAAAAAATAAGTTAAGTTAGTTATTTATAATAAATAGATATTATTTTTCCTAAAATATCCTTGCTAATCAACTGTATTGATTAGAATTATTATTATTAGAAGGACAATCTTAGAAAAAAAAATACATAAATATGAGAGACAAAATGGATTGAGATCTTATATTTAGGATCAAAATAAAAGTCAAATAAGGTCTTATATTAAGGACCTGAGATAGTAATAATTAACTACAATTGAAAAGCAAATGACAACAAATTTTTATATTAATTCTTAATTTGGGATTTTAAAATTTTTGGGATATTTGCTTTAAAAAAATTAGATGAATGATTAGTGACATAATAATTAATTAAAAAAATAAGGTTCAACAAAAAAAATAGACTTACTCCCTCTGATCTTTTATATAAAAACTAGTTGGAGGATAGATTTTTTTTCAAAATATCCCGATTGATTGAAAAGAATTCCCACCAAAATAATTCTAATCACCCAATACACATTATTGGAGTGAATAATTTAAAGAGCCTATGGTACATTTGTCACTGCAGTGCAACATAGGAAGTCTAGAAAGAAGTTATGATCCAAACTATAAAAATTAATTATATTTTCCCACTTATGTCTCTATTAATTACTAGAGAGATGAGAAAGATAATAAATAAAAGTGTGCTTAAAAATACTTCGTTACTTTCTAATTGTTAGGATTATAGTTTTGATGATAACAAGTCAGAATTTCAGGGTTAAGTATTTTGATCGATCAACTGATCGAGCAATCAGTTATCGCTAAGGTTTCAGATAAATGATCAAGTATAAATCGGGTCTATAGTAGTCTTTTTGATCGAAGAACTATTCGATGAATAAATTATCGATAAAGTGATCGGTAATCGCTAGCGTAAATATCACATAAGACTTTGGGAAATTATCGATAAGCTGATCGATAATATCAGGTAAACAATCGAGTTACTGATAAATCTGAAGTGTATTTATCGATCAGGTTATCGATAAATCAGTCATCAATAACGACTTCGATAAAAGGTAACACTCTCTACTTGTTCTGCACATTAGTTCTGTTACAAGTTTATCGATCATATTTTCGATCATCTATTTATCGATTACGTGCTCGAACTTTATGCTCTAACTCTCTGAATGCAGGTGATCAAATTCACTGATAGATCGATAACTTTATTGATCACAAAATTATCGATCACATGATCGATAATCAATGTCCTTATCTACTCTTACTCAATTTTGCTAAAGCTAAATTATCGATAACATTATCGATAACTTTAACTTATTTGCTCAACAAAAGTTTTCACATAACGTGATAGATAAAAAGTCTAAGAATTGACATATTCGCATTAAGTTATGGTGAACGAATGTTCGATCAAGTTATCGATCACTGGTTTTTCGATAATATGATCGATCATCCAATTCCATGAAAATCATGTTTTCACAAAAGGTGATCGATAACCAGTTTCCTTGCCTTAAAGGATTAATCTTCTCTTCATAATTTATTCGATCATTTGTTCGAATATTCATTGTTCGATTAAATGTTCGATCTTTTCAGATAGCCTGTGTTCTTCATTGAATATATACATACCCATGGTTTATCGATAACATTATGCATTATATATTTATCGATAAGATGTTCGATCATCAATGACTGAAGCTTCATTTCAATAACATTTAAATTATCGATAATCTGTTCGATCAATTATGTGATCGATCACTTATTCGATCATGCAATAATTTCCTCTTTCTATGATAATTCTTAAAGTCAATGATCCAACACTTGATCGATAATTTTAGTGATCTACTTCGAAAAGTCTTCATTCTGGTTATCGATAACTTGATCTATCATCAAGTAATCGATCACTTTTTCGATCAAACTAAACCAGAATGACATTTTGTTCTTCTTACTGATAAATGATTTCGGCACAAATCCTTAAATGATAGATTAGCTTTCTTTCTGTATTCAAGATTAAAGCACTCACCACAAAACTCTCACTTGTTCTAAGTTTGAAATATGCAGATTAATGAAAACGAGTGCAACGGCTCTTCAACGGGATTACGTAGACTGCGACCTACAGTGTCAGAAACTCAGACGCATTAATGGCGGAGTTGTTAAAACCAGTGAAACACGCAAACGAAGTCACAACGGCTAGAAGCCCTTCCGTCTAACGGCTATTTAACGATATCAACTATAAAAGGCGCGAAGAGGCATTAATGAAGAAATTGAATACCTGAACTACCACCTGCGATTATTTAGTTACACATTCAATACTCTGTTTTTCACTTTACTACTGAGCATCAGTGTTTATCATTGAATTCACTCTGTAAGAGAGCCATTCACTACTCTTATTAAAAACTTGAGAGACACTCAAGAGTGTGGACTCTTGAGAGGGGTTGTATCCTTACGGGAGTAAGGGGGAGTGATTGAGCGATTCAATTACTGTACCGAGGCACCAAGAGCCCTGTCGATCTTGGAAGATAGTGAAATACTCAGAGGTGTTCTGGGGACTGGAAGTAGGTCACGTGGATTAGACCGAACCAGTATAAATCTTGTGTCTCCTCTCTGTGGTTAAAATTCTCCTTACTCTGACTCTCTGTTTTTATTCAATACTTGCACGCTTTTAGTTTTAAATTTTTGTAACTCACCCAATTCACCCCCCTCTTGGGTGAGATTGTTTCTAACACTAATCACATTCTTTAAAGATAAAATAGAGAGTATATCCAAATCTGTTGAAAATGATCCCGCTCTGTTTAACATCCAAATAGCTTAACTCATCAAAACGTACTGAAAGACTCACTGACTAACAATTCCACCAGGCGAACCAACAAATCCAATGCTCTAGTTCTCTAATGACTGGTTTTTGAACGTTAGGAGGCAACATTGCTAATATTTTAAACTTCTGAGGTAATATTAAACTTAAGAAAAACATTCGTATGCCTAGTGCTCTTAACTGAAAACCTTTCAGAATAAATTTGTGCATCAACCCATTAATTTATTTTATTTTGTGGTTTGAACTTTGAAATAAACAATGACACTTGACTAAGGGTGTGTTTGGATTAGCGGTGGAGAAGTAACTTTTTTTTCAATCTGACTTTTCCAGAAGTCAGATTGAGTAAAAGTCAGATAGGATAATGTGATTTGTGTTTGGATTGGGTTTTAGAAAAAAGT